GTGCGGTGCTGATAACACCAAGGCCCCGGGTTCGGATCCCATATAGGGATGGCCGGTTCGCTCACTGGCTGAGCGTGGTGCTGACAACACCAAGTCAAGGGTTAAGATCCCCTTACCGGTCATCTTTAAAAAAAAAAAATAAAAAAATTAATTCCTTTTATTTCTCCTTTAAATTACAACTAAGATGTTATATTGATTTTTTTTTTTTAAAATTGTGTATTATAGTATACTATCTGGGATGGTGATATGTTATTTTTAAGAAAGTGCCTTCTGATTTTATATATTGTGTAGGGTTGCAGGATAGTATAATGAATGGGTGCACAGGCTAGAGTCAGATTACCTGGGATCAGATTGTGGCTCCACTATGTGCTGTGTGATCTTGGAAAAACCACTTGATCTCTCTTTGCCTCAGTTCCCTCTTAGGCAAAGTAAAGTGGAGGTCATGACATTATCACCTCGCAGGGTCCTTGTGAGGATTAAATGAGATAACACACATTTAAGTGCATAAAAGTGTCTGGTATATAGAAAGCAATAAAAAAAGTATTGAATATATATAAACAGAAACTGTATCATTCTGAAAAACAAACTTTAAAAGAGTAGCAATAGGGAATATTTCATAAATTTTCCAATATTTACTGTATACTTTACTAAAGTCATTACTATTTGTATTATGTTTGGATTTTTGTTAAACTTATCTCCTGCCAAATGAAAATTACCTTAGATTTTTATGGATATTTTTCCATAGAATCATAAGTTACTCATGTACCTTTTCTGTGTAGTGAGGTTTATTGCCAACTGCCAATAGAATAGGCTCAACTGTATACAAAAATGTACTATATTCTAATGTGCAAAAAATGTAAAATACAACTCATAGCTACAATATATATCTACCCAACTCGAAAAACCAGCATAAGTCATATTATTCATTTTGGTAAAACCTTTTACAATTTTCATTTAAAACATCAAGTTTCATTAAAACATTCTGTGAGAGAGTTACTGGGCTATACAATAGTGGATGTTAAGAAGAAGGTGCCATGCAGCCATCATTGTCGACCTGGAATGAGGAGACTGACCTTCAAGAAACAACCAAGAAAGTTAAAAAGTAGAGGATAAGTGTTAAATTGATAGCAAAGGATTTAAGAGCTGTAGAAATTCAGAGGTCCATCAGAATGGTAAGGTAGTTAAGGAAGGTTTTGCATAGGAGACGGGAGGAGGCATTTTGACAATATATGTACGGCTGTGAACACGTTAACTTCTCTGTGATTCCTGGGTCCTTGTTTATGAAATTTAATGCATTTAAAATGCCTAGTGCAATCTACATGAACTAAGTTTTAAAGAATGGGCAGGCTGTTATGAGTGGAAAATGATTCAGTTGACAGAAATAAGCAAAGCTAGGGACAGGGATGTTTTGAGTAGTAGAGAGAGAAATCTTTTAAAAATCTTTGTATGAACACAAAAAAGAAAAAAGTCAACATGTAATTTTATGTTTTATTTTATTTTTTTGGTAGCTGGTTGGTACAGGGATCCGAACCCTTGACGTTGGTGTTATAACACCATGCTCTAACCAACTGAGCTAACCAGCTAGCCCCGACATATAATTTTATAATTTAAAGTTCTGTAATAGCAAACTTTTTTTTTTTTTCCCTGCATGGCAAATCAACTTTCAACTTTTACTACTTCTCTACATCTTGGCTTAGGTTATAATCCAAGGCAGTTACTCCTTTAACAGTGCGAAGATACTTTAGGAAAAAAAATGCAGAATAGAGTAAAAGAACAACTCGGTCACTTAATTATAGCACACTGTTTACTTGTTTACAAAGAAGGTAAATCAGCAGATCGATTTCATCCCACAAAGGAAACAAAAAGATTAAGAGAAAGAGGAAGGAGAGGAAAGATATAATTGCTAACCATTTAATTTGAGTTTATATTGGAAAAATAAGCACTATGCTTTTCAAATGATTTGAAAGTCACTTTCATTTGCCTCTTTATTTTGATGGTGTTTTTTTTTTTTTTTTTTTAAGTAAAATCACTAAACTTGTACAATGGTAGCATAGAAATAATCTGAGGTGTCTTGTATGATTGTGCTTTAGCCAGGGTGGACGTTAAATTATAAACAATGAAGATTAAAGTACAAGGAAGTATAAGTTCATGCTGCCTACTTCTAAGAGAACTTTTGTTCTTCATAACTACATAATGTTATAATGCCACTAATTCATAGGGGTTTAAATTAATTCTGTGGGGTAGGACACCAGAATTATTAGTGTTCATTTTCATCTACGATTTTTTTTTTTTTGGTGGCTGGCCAGTATGGGGATCTGAACCCTTGGCCTTGGTGTTCATCTATGATTTTTTATTCTCTAATATTCTTGGTCTTATTGAAACATTTTCAGTATACAAAAATACTGTGATATTAATATCTAAGAGAAAAGCCATTATCATGTGTATGCTGGTCATCATGATCAATGTGGTATAATTTTAAAAAAATTATCATGCCCTTCAAAAAAAAAAAAGTAATAATTGCTATCTGGTGAGTGAATCTTGTTTGCACTTTCTTTTTCTTTTTTTTTTTTTTTTAAATGAGATAGCTGATTAGCTGGCAGGCAGCAAAGAGGTCAGTCTGGACACACCATCCTTAAGTAGGCTGACTTAGAGTACAAAATAAAGCTGCAGTGGCAGGCTGTTTCTTTGTATGGTCTGCTAGTGTACTTCCCTCAGCACCTCATTCTTAGTTGAACTACTTCCCTCACTAGAAGTTTCAGTATACATCCTGCTTTTCTCTAAATTCTTTTTCTCTCTGTCTTTAGTTCTGAACCCTTATTTGAAAGTGATCGGGCCGGCCCGTCGCTCACTCGGGAGAGTGTGGTGCTGATAACACCAAGGCCCCGGGTTCGGATCCCATATACGGATGGCCGGTTCGCTCACTGGGTGAGCGTGGTGCTAACAGCACCAAGCTAAGGGTTAAGATCCCCTTACCGGTCGTCTTTTAAAAAAAAAAAAAAAAAAAAAAAAGAAAGTGATCATAATCTGGGGTGCTCAAAATAGAGTTTTCGTTACAAAGAGTTATAATCTTTTAAACATAAATATACAAAATTTAATTTACCCTTTGGACTTGAATTTTTCTAAGGATTAACACCATTATGTTCACACTCTAACGAACTAATTGCAATGGGTTAAATGTGTCCCCCCAAAAGTTCATGTGTTAGAAACTGATCCCCACTGTAACAGTGTTAAGAGGATGGGAAATCCAATTATGGTATTTGAAGGGTGGAGCCTTTGAGAGGTGATTGGATTGTGAGGACTCTGTCCTTATGAATAGATTAATCCATTCATGGATTAATGTATTAATTGTTTAGTGGGTTATAATGGATGCCGAGTTGTGGCTTACAATCGGAGAGCACCTGAGAAAGCTTTTGCCATTCTCACAATGTGACTGCCTGCATCACCATGGGACCCTATAAAGAGTCACCAAGAAGAAGACCTTCACAGAATGTGTTCCCTGTACTGTGGACTTCCCAGCCTCCAAAACTGTAAGAAATAAATTTCATTTCTTTGCAAATTATCAATTTCAGGTATTCTGTTATGAGCAACAGAAAATGGACTAATACACTAATAATAGTATTTTAAGAGACAATAGTTTAAGTGCCTGCAAATAGCTGATTATTGCTTCTGTCCTGCAGTGAATTACCACAGGAATAAATCTGGCAAATATTTGCTGACTTCATGCCCATAGGCATTATGAAGCAGGAACTATATCTTAGATTAAGATTATAAAGTGAGGAAAAGAGACACATAATATGCATCATTACTTTCTTTTTTTTTTTTTTTTTTGCCACTCATATTAGTTAAAAGTGAAGAGGAAATATTGTCCAATTGTTTTGTATACATTGGACAAAGCGTATACATTTTAAAGTCTATAAGGCAAATTGAAATAATCCTTTATTATTTCTTGTTAGGATGAGAGACGTCTCCCTTTCAGCTGCTCCTGCTTTTTTTTTTTTTTTTTTTTAATTCTTTCTTTATTTATTTGCTGATTGAATCATAATCGATTATACATATTTTTGGGATTCATTTTTGACATATGTTGATCAAATCGATATTACTAGTATGTATATTGTTACAAATTGTACTTATTCTTTATGCCCCTTGTTCAATCTCTCCCTATCTCCCTGTCCCTCCCCTCTCCCACCACTGATAACCCTAGATTTCTTCTCTCCCTCTGAAAGAGTAATGGTTCCTCTGCTGATTTGTTGCCTAGATCATCTGTCCAATGCTGACAGGTGTGTTCAGGTCCCCCAATATTATCATAGAGCAGAGGTTTATTTTTTTTTTATTTTTATTTTATTTTATTTTTTTAAAGTTGACCGGTAAGGGGATCTTAACCCTTGACTTGGTGTTGTCAGCACCACGCTCAGCCAGTGAGCGAACCGGCCATCCCTATGTGGGATCCGAACCCGAGGCCTTGGTGTTATCAGCACCGCACTCTACCGAGTGAGCCACGGGCCGGCCCAGCTGCTCCTGATTTTTAAAATCATCACACAACACAGCGACACTTCTGTTTAAAAATCAAACTCTGCTCATTTCAATTCTTTGGTAATAGCCATGCATAGACACCTGAAAAAAGTAAGGCCAGTGAGTTGGTGAATCTACTTTGTGATTCTTGAAAGCCCAAGACCTAACTGACTTGACTAGACAATAACCTTTTTTACTTTTTAAGTAAATATTTGAGACAGTTAATAGCTTAGTGCCTTAGGTATTCAGAGGCTTAGGAATCCACATTAACACAGTTCTCACATGCATGAATTTGGTCTACATCCATGCGTGTAATCAAATTTCTTTTCTAGACAGATTAAACGCGTAGCATCTTGTAACAAGAAGACAAAGGAATGCGCTTGATCGACAGGCGCATCACCGGCGCAGCGAGTTCTCGCGCGATGATGAGACGCCACCGCCCTGACGTCACCGGTTGCCGTGGCAGCCGCCGCCGGAGAGGAGAAGAGGGGTGGTACTAACTGCCGGTTGAGGGGGAGAGCGGCTGCGGCAGAGGACGAGTCTTCTTCTCACGCAGGTCGGACTTGTACCAAAATGAGCGGCCTGGATGGGGGCAACAAGCTCTCTCTCGGTAATACCTGCGGCCTTGCTACTCCTGAACATGCCGCAGGAGATCCGGACCTAAACCAGGGCCTCCGCGAGGAAGCCGAGGTGACGCAGGCGATGGCGGACACAGGTGGGAGCAGTTTGGAGACTGCTGCGGAGGGAGATGCACCTCGGGATGCCTCAAACTGTCGCCCCGCGCTCCGTATCCGAGTTGCTGGGAGTCGCGGCGGAGCAGCTACCAAAGCGGGGCAGGAAGATGCTCCGCCTCTCACGAAGGACCTGGAGGCTGCCTCAGTCTCCGTGGTAGCTGACAATAGCCAGAAAAATGGCTGTCAGCGCGGAGAGCCGCGCATCCCTGCTGGGCAGAAGGCTCTAGAAGGCTGTGGCGCAGGGGAGTTGGGGTCCCAGGTGATGCCTGGGGCGAAGGCCAAGGAAGTGACGACTAAAAAGTGCGCCACCTCAGCAGCAGCGGAAAAGGAGGGAGAAGCAGAGGCGGTGATGAAGGAAAAGAAGATGGTACAGAAGGAAAAAAAGGTGGGAGGAGGAGTGAAAGAGGAGACGCAGCCCAGGACCCCGAAGATCAATAACTGCATGGACTCGCTGGAGGCCATTGATCAAGAGCTGTCCAACGTAAACGCCCAGGCTGACAGGGCCTTCCTTCAGCTGGAGCGCAAGTTTGGCCGGATGCGAAGGCTCCACATGCAGCGCAGGAGTTTCATCATCCAAAATATCCCAGGTTTCTGGGTCACGGCCTTTCGGAACCACGCCCAGCTCTCACCTATGATCAGTGGCCAAGATGAAGACATGATGAGGTACATGATCAATTTGGAAGTAGAGGAGCTTAAACACCCCAGAGCAGGCTGCAAATTCAGGTTCATCTTTCAGGGCAACCCCTACTTCCGAAATGAAGGGCTTGTCAAGGAATATGAGCGCAGATCCTCTGGCCGCGTGGTGTCTCTTTCCACTCCAATCCGCTGGCATCGTGGCCAAGATCCCCAGGCCCATATTCACAGGAACCGGGAAGGGAACACTATCCCCAGTTTCTTCAATTGGTTCTCAGACCACAGCCTCCTAGAATTCGACAGGGTTGCTGAGATTATCAAAGGGGAACTGTGGCCCAATCCCCTGCAATACTACCTGATGGGTGAAGGGCCCCGCAGAGGACTTCGCGGCCCAGCAAGGCAGCCAGTGGAGAGCCCTAGGTCCTTCAGATTCCAGTCCGGCTAACCTCTGCCCTTGTGAGAAGCTCCTGCGCAAGTTTCCTTACCAACTCCTTTTGGACCTATGCTTGGCCAACAGCATGCAGTCTTCTGTCTGCTTTCTCTTCATACTGAATTATTTTGTCCTTTGGTTCTTCTAAATCTTCAACAGTCAGTTGCAAGATTGTCACTTACATGCCTGTGCTCTTCCTCTGGGCCTTCATGCTTTTCTGCATCGTTGTCAGTATGTTCCAAGTGCATGGCCTGTTTTTATGCCAAGCACATGATGCTGTAGATATGTACTGCCTGCCTTTGCATGGCTTGGGACCATAGTCTTCTCCCAGTTTTTTGAGTGGTTCTCTACCACAAGGAAGCTTGATACATCTTTACAAATAGCTAGCTGGGCTTCAGACTTTATGCTGGCTGTGCTCCTGTTACCCATGTACTTATGGCAAGCTCATTGAGTTTCACCACTGCGAGATGAAACTGATATCCCAACCCAGCCATCAACCCAAACTGGACATTCCAGGCTACCATTAACTTGTTCCCAGCTGCTTCCCTGGGCCATCCACCCTACTGGTTATCAAGCAGGTGACTGGTGGGTGACTGCTAGGTATGAATGAGGTAACAGAAAAGAAGTGTTCTATGTTATCATATTGGTGTTCCTGTACCTTTGGTTACTCTGCATCCTGACCAACTACTGGTGAGTATGAAGGGCTATGCTATAGTCCACTCCTACTTGCTGTCACCTTCTGGTTGAGCTTTGCTCGGCCCACCATTATCTCCCTCCTAAGGAACCGTCTGTGGGCTTAAACTCCTAGGCAGGAAAACTATAAACCCAATTGGCTGTTAGGCAGGTTGGGCAGTAATATGTGACAGTGCCCAAAAAGCAAGGCTGGAACAGGGTGCCTTCCAGCAGTTAGCCCTTCTGAGCCTTAGCCAAGAAACCACCCTTAAGCTAGGCAGCTTTGTTAAGCAACCCCTCTTTCTCCCTCCTGCACCCACTCTGAAGATGACATAGTTGCCAGGCTGGGGGCACTGAGGGAGAGTGTTTTTGTAATGTGGGGCTTGTTATGCTTTTCTTTCCCCCGCAACTCCCCAACCTCCCCCCCCCCCACAACGCCCCGTTCCTTCCTCCCTTTCTCTCAAGCAGTTACAGCTCAGAAACAGACAACAAAACTGGGAAAGCAGGCCTTCTGCTTAATTTTCTTTCCCCCTTGACTGTGTCCAGAGAGAGAAAAGTACCATAAAATAGACTCCAGATCTCTTACTGCCCTCATTCCTCTGCCTCACTTCTTTAACAAGGCCTGAAAGTTGCAAAGGGAGCCCTAAGTTAATTGCTTAGTTGTGGATACTGTTCTTTTAGGCTAACTCTGACATCCCCACCCCTTTTCCCTATCCATTCTACTAAAACCTGTTTCTTGAGCTTTAATTTGAGAAGCTGGGACAGAGAGAAGGGCCTCATAGTGAGCAAGAGGTGAGCTAAAAGGAACCAAAACTTAGCTTCACTCCACTTTTCTAAAGGTGGAAATTCTTTTTTTGGCCATAGACTGCCTAAAAATGACCCAGGGTAGCATTTTGTATGTCACCCCTGTCCTCTGTACTACTTGATTACTGTCCTGATGTCCCACGGGCCTCCAATCCTATTGCCTGGCTTTTGTGGCCCTCAGTTCTCAGCTTCTGCATTGCCTTCCCTGCTTCTATCCTAATAAATGAGACTGCAGGCTGCAGTCTGCATTGGGGGAGATCTCAAGCCTCTTCCTAGGGGTAAGGGGATGTGGAATCGTCTGGATTTCCAGGACAAGTTCCAGTAGGTGGGACAGGGCTGTCTTGGTTGTGAGGATGTATGGTGGTCTTGATGACCATGCACCTCACCCTTTCTCCTTCTGAAGGCCTTGCTCTGAGCTCCCTAAAGATTTAGGTGGTCTGGATACCAGCAGTGGAGAGGGTGCTCTAGGCTGGGGAAATTGAGTAAAAGCCCAGAAGCAGTAATGAGCCTGCTGTGAAGTGGGCTGGGAAAGGCAGACAGGAAAGACTGAAACCCTGCAGGATCCGGGGTTGGAAGGGAGGCCCCTGAGGCACTTCCCACCGTAAAGGTAGGAGAATAAAAGTGGTTGAGGTTTAAATGGATGTCTGGAGGAGGTTTTCCTCCCATTTTTCACAACTCCTTGAATTCACCATTAGATTTTTGTAAAGAAAATGCAAAGCTGTATGTTTTATTCAAGGAGTAACCTTTATATATGTGGAAGATTAATGGTATATGCCCTTTATTTCACTGTTTTTGAGTAAAATCCTATTATTTCTCCATTTCAGCCTACTGGCAAAATTGATGTTTACAGGCCTGCTTTTTGCTTGTAATTGAGAACATGTACAAAAATTTCAAATTTATGTCCTGTGCAGTATGAAGACTTCAGTGAATATTCATTAATAGCTTGTTCTGGTCTCTGTTTATATATAGCTCTACTCTTAGAAATATAATTTGAATAATGTAATCTTTCAAGTTTCAGGATTTTACAAATTGTTGCTATGTCTTGTGAAAGTAATCTCAAAAAGAAAATATAACTCTGTTGTTTTATTTGATATTTCTTGCCCTAGTAATTATGTACTTGACGTTTATGTTCCTAACTAGTATAAGAACTAGTGAAATTACTCTGTCAAACTAAATGAAGATCAGTAATACTTCTGTCTTCTCCTGTGTGCTTGAAAGAAAAATAAAATGTCACTGCTGTATTTGTTTTCACCAAAATAATAAAAATAAATAAAAGTTCTATGTTGTCTAGGTTAATAAAAGGTGGAGAAATCATTCAAGTTACCCAATGGAGGCAGTAACCATCATCCTGAAAATTAAAAAACAAAAACAAAAACAAAACCCCCGAAACTTCTAGAGTTTTTTGCTTGAAAAATGGTAAATAAGAAGCCCACCTGCAACTGCATACTCATGAACATAATTTTTCCTATACAACCTGTGTAGTTTTTGGTGGTAATTGAAGCACTGTATATTGATTTTATCACTTAAAATACTGTTTCCAGTGGAAAACTTGTCTATGCATCATCCTTGTTTATGACATTCATGTTGACCATGCTCTCCTTGGTCTAATTCTCTGAATGAGCTTAACATAGACTTTTGGAAGAATTAATTATTGTGTATTCTGTGAGTGCTACTTAAGTTCTTTTCCTACAATACTGTGGTGCTTTAAAAAGAATACGCAAAAACTTATGACTGAAATAAAATGTTTAGAAACAAATGATATCAGATATCACAACTTCAATTACCAGTAATGATAGTTTTGTCGTTAAATAGCTATTACATGAAGATTAGGAGGATAAATAATGCTTCATTCTCTGTAGTAGAGAGAAGGAGGGCTATGGATGCTGCCAAATCTGTGAAAATGAATAACCAAGTATTTTAGCCATCTATGTAAAAATTTGACATAAATGACCCCAAATTTCTGATTTGAGTTAGCAACTGTTAAGTATACAATCAAACGGACTTGCTGACTCTTGGTGTAGTTCTTACTCGTGAGTTCTACTTGCTGAGGTGTAATTTCTTCTAGGCCTGGAGAACTTTAAATATTAAAGAGCTGGGTTTTTTTTTGCAGCTCTACATCTTAATCCTAAATTCCGTGAACAATGTGCACTTTTACCTTTTCAGTTCGGTGATTGATTTCTGCACTGTCAACCACCTGTTTCAGGCTTTATCCCTTTTCTATTCCTGTTCTGGGCATAATCAGAAAATGTCATTTTTGGGCCGGCCCGGTGGCGCACTGGATAAGTGCGCCGCTTGGGAAGCGCGGCAGCGCTCCCGCCCGAGGGTTCGGATCCCACATGCAGACCGGTTCCCGCTCACTGGCTGAGTGAGGCGCGGGGGCAGCGCCGAGGGTTGCAATCCCGTTGCTGGTCTCCGGTCCGGTACGGGGGCAACACTGAGGGTTGCGATCCGTTGCCAGACACGGAAAAAGACAAAAGGCAAAAAAAAAAAAAAAAAAAAGAAAATGTCATTTTTTCTGGCCCTTGGTTTATTATCAGCTTTAGTCTAATCAATAGTATTTATTCTTCTAACAGGCTAGTGCCATTCATTTGTTACAGATTAACCTGGTTTCTGTTCTGTTTAGTCTAATAAAATTAATGATTAAATTAGACTCAATTAGGCATTTTATAGATTTCACTTTACTAACCAATTGGTTCACTCCTATAGCTCTGTTCCACTTCTTTGCATTACCTTGTTTTTTTCTTCCTCAATTCTAGACCCCAGTTATTCTTTAGGCAGTTAAGAGATTTTCTCATCCTCTGGTCACCAAAGAAGAATTAACATTTTAGACTACTTAGGCCATATTGCCTTGGGAGTAGTCGTGACACACTTCATAATTTTCCTGGTCCCCACACAAACTCCTTGGGCTTCCTTTTCTATTCTGGTCATTCAGTTCAAGCCAGACACCCATAAAAGGCTTCTCTGCCCTTCCTTACTCAGGCCCTCCTCTTTATTACTCCTGCTGCTGCTGCTGCTGGTCTATCTCCAGTTAACCCACACTTCCTTAAATCAGTTTTTATCATTAAAAACAAAAAAAACCTTACCTATATTCTTAATTATCGAGTTCCCTGCCCCATGGAGTCACAATTTTATCTTAGATATGTGATTTTGCTTCAGGCACATTATTCCCTGGCTTCAGTGTCCTCAAGAGATCTGAGATGTGTCAGGCACTTCCAGGTGTGCTCTTATGTTGCCTTCATAATCCAGTGACACAGGTTTTACTATTTCTATCTAAGTAGTTGAGAAAACAGGCTCAGAAAGTTGAAGTAAATTGTTGAAGATGCAAACCACAGATTGTTTTCTGATTTCAAGCTAGGGTATGTACCTTCCATTATATTACAGCCATTTGTTCTAAATTTGGCATAAAAACATTAACAAAAACCCTATTTCCAGGCTTCAGGTGAAGGTTATTCTTAATCCATTCATGAATGGCCTTAGAAATGGGAACTTTTTATCATGTGATCTGTTTTAATTAATACAGGTTTCTGTAAAGTTACAGATTTAAAACACTCCTGAATTTACGTATGTAATCTTGATGTTTGCTGCATATGAATGAAATTAACACTGTTCCCTTCATCAAAGGCAGTAAGTACACTAAAAGTACTTTAAATATTGTATTATACTCATGGAATTTAGCTGCTAAATAAGAACTATTGACATTTCTATTAAATTTACAGAATGAATAAGAATTTTTTAATTATTTCAATTTGGTGATTGCTTTTAACAGACAGTAATTTATTTCTTTTCTTCTTTATTAAACTTTGACTATTACCAAGAAATTACCAAGGCCAAAGTACCAAGAAAGTAAAATAAGGTGGTCATTTTTTCCAAAAGGTCTGCAAACAGGTGCATGGTACAAGAACCTGATTGTCAGGAAGTCTATGTGCTGTTGTAATTGTCATTCTAAGTAATGGCCCAACTTCTCCATAGGCCCAGTTATCCCATCTCCTACCAAGTTTACTTGGACCAGTTTTCATTACTCCTCCAGTTAGCTTACCTCAGCACTAGGGAGGGAAATTTGCTAACTATTCAAGGTACATGTGAAACAGAATACAAAAGAAGAGTAGGCCTGTTTATTGAAGACCTTAACATGTGTGGCTTCCAAGAAGAGCAGATTCATTATACATTTTAGGACTCCTGTGGTTCTTGGGTTTTTATTTTACTCTTCTAGGTAAGTTTATATTATAGATTTGTTTTAATTTCTTTTACTAAATTATAAATTTAGTACAGAGCCTGTGTCTTCATTTCTAATCCCTTACATGTCCTAGCATGATGTGATTATTAAATTGAAGTGTGGTGTTAGACTGAGACTTTGTCCCAGTCTGGATTCAGTACTGGAAGACTTAATGGGTCAATCAATTAAAAGCAAGATTTCTGGGTCAAACTTGTGCTCATGTACAGACTGTGTCCTTTAGTGACAGGGCAACTTTAAGCATAGTATTTAACCTCTTTGAATTTCAATTTTCTCATCTGTATAATTTTAATAATTATACTTCTCATATGGTTGCTGTAGGGAGTAAACACAGTAATGTACATGAAGTAGCCTGGTGAGGAGTCAGCACTCATTATCCTAGTTTGCTATTAATACTGAGGATGGTTCTAGAGACCAACAAGAGACACCTTTCTCAATTCATCCTTTGTGGACTGGCCCATACTGGGTGAGCTGGCATGCCCTCATGACTTTGATAATAGCAGTGAGATGTATTCCAGTCTTGCACTAATCTGGAAGCCAACTCTTACGATAACCTTGTGCTCAAGGGCCTGAAGAAGAGGTACGGGAGTGTTACTGCAACATCACACATTTTAAAAAGCTACCCCTCTGATTCTAATATGCGGTCAGGGTTGTTATATCCAGAAAGACAGTTTGATGTTCTATTTTATGCTGGTTTGTTATATAAAATAAGTATATAGATTTGATTTTCATTCAAACCAGTTCACTGGAAGTGTGTGTGTGTGTATATATATACATATATATATATATATATATATATATATATATGAGTATATATGAGGGGTCTTCAAAAAGTACATGGAAAGATTCATATTATCTTTGAATTCTATCCACAAGCTTTGTAGAATAATATTTATTTTTGGATGTGAACATTGGTAGGGAAATAATACTTGTTTTCAATTTAGAGTTTAACAAGGTCAGTAGTAGTTGATTTTAGACTGAAATTCATGGTTCACTGGACGTTTCTGCTACCTCAGTATTCCAAATAGCAAATCCTGACAAAACATTTGACCAGTGTGCCATTCAGATATTTCTTCAGCTGATGAAACCAGCAGTAGCCAGCAAAAAAATTTCAGCTCCCTTGTTATTTTTAGGTATCTTTCAGATGATGAATGTTTGCCTGTATGCTAATATTAAACTTAAGTCTTCTATTTACACAGTTTTCCTGCTGTCTTATAACTTTATTAAAGGATATACCTCTTTGCTAATATTCTTTTTAATTTTTATGGTACCACTTTTGGATGATTATTTTTACTCTTCATATTCAATTAGAAACACTAGCACTTTTTAGAAACAAAGTAAAAATTTGAAGTAAAAATTTATTAATTTTTTTTTTTAAAAATAGATGACCGGTAAGGGGATCTCAACCCTTGGCTTGGTGTTGTCAGCACCACGCTCAGCCAGTGAGCAAACCAGCCATCCCTATGTGGGATCCGAACCCGTGGCCTTGGTGTTATCAGCACCACACACTCCCGAGTGAGCCACGGGCCGGCCCTGAAGTAAAAATTTAAAAGGCCTAATTATAGTCTAACAGAAAAACAACATTCATGAGAAGCACTGACTATGCTAGAAAGGCGGAAGGAAACTTAGAAATAAACTCTAACCTTCTCGTTTTACCAAATGGAAAAAACTGAGGTCAAGTTAGCTGGTAATTTGTTCAGGGTCTTTAGGTAGGTACTGGCAAAA